ACCCTAGATCCCATTCTCTCTCTAAATACCACTGAGAATTCTCCCCTTTCTCTTCTCTATCAATTTTTCACCCTCTATCTGATCATTCCCATCAGCATACAGATGTGTTGTTATAGCTTCAATCTTAAAGAAACAAACAGAAACAAAAACCCTTCCTGTGACACCCATTCCCCTGCCAGACACTGCCCCTTGCTGGCCTTGGTGGCCTTGCTGGCCTAAGCAACCACACTCCTGGAGCGAGTAGTTCATGCCAGTTCCTATCTGGCCTTCGCCCCAGCATCCCACCTGCTCTACTCTTCACAGCGAGAGAAGTGTTGACCTTCACGTTGCTGAATCCGGTGATGGATGGTTGGGCTTTGTCCTACTTAACCTAAAAGCAGCGTTTGACACAACTCATCACTTTCTCCCCCTTGAAGCACTTTTCTTCACTTGCTGTCCATACTCTCCTGAGGTGGTTTCCTCCCGTCTCACTGCAGGGTCCTTCCCAGTCACCTTTGCTGGATCCTTCTCTTCTCCCCAACTCTTAACTTAAGAGTGTCTCAGGGGCGCGGTGGCTCATGCCTGTAATCCTAGCTCTCTGGGAGGCCGAGGCGGGCGGATTGTTTGAGCTCAGGAGTTCGAAACCAGCCTGAGCAAGAGCAAGACCCCGTCTCTACTAAAAATACAAAGAAATTAATCGGACAACTAAAAATATATAGAAAAAACTAGCCGGGCATGGTGGCGCATGCCAGTAGTCCCAGCTACTCGGGAGGCTGAGGCAGGAAGATCGCTTGAGCCCAGGAGTTTGAGGTTGCTGTGAGCTAGGCTGACGCCACGGCACTCACTCAAGCCCAGGCAAAAGAGTGAGACTTTGTCTCAAAAAAAAAAAAATAGTGTCTCAGACTCGGTCCTTTGTTCGTCTCTTCTCCATTGAGGATCTCATCTCCAGAACTCCAGACTTGTCTAACCAACTGCCTACTTGACATCACTTGGATGTCTAATAAAATCTTAAACTGGTGAAAAGTTGAACTCTTGATCATTTTCCCACTTTTACCCCCAAAATTGCTTCCCCGGCAGCCTTGTTCATTTCAGTTGATGGTAACTCCATCCTTCCAGTGGCTCAGGCCAAGATCCGTGACGACATTCTTGACTCTCTTTCTCATCTCACATCCCCTCCTTCAGGAAATCGTGTCCGCTCAACCTCCAAATATATGCAGTCTCAAACTCAAACCACTTCCCACCACCTCCATTTATACCAGTCCAGAGGAGGCACCATCGCCTGTTGCCTGGATTACTGCAAAGCCTCCTAACAGAGCCCTTTCTTCTACTCTGGCCCCCGCAGCAGTATTCAGTATTCTCAGCACAGGAGCCTTGAGTGACCCTTCAAAAAATATGTCATATCCAGACTATATATAGAACTTGTACAACTGAACAACAAAAAAGATAAACAACCCAACTTAAAAATGAGCAAAGAAATTAACTAGACATTTCTCTAAGGAAGATGTATAAATTCTGTCCAAGAAGCTCTCCATCACTAGTCAGTAGGGAAATGCAAATCAAAACCACAATTCGATACCATTTCGTACAGACTAGGACAAACATTTTTTAAAAATAAAATAAAATATGGCTAGGTGTGGTGGCTCACACCTGTAATCCCAGCACTTTGGGAAACTGAGGCAGGAGGATCACTTGAGGCCAGGAGTTTGAGACCAGCCTGGGCAACATAGCCAGACCTCACCACAATTTCTTTTTTAAATTAGCCAGGTGTGGTGGTGCACAGCTATAGTCCTAGCTACTTGGGAGGCTGAGGCAAGAGGATCCCTTGAGCCCAGGAATTTGAGGCTGCGGTGAGCTATGATCATGTCACTTTACTCCAGCCTGGATGACAGAGAAAGACTCTGTCTCAAACAAAAAAATGTATACG